AAAGTAAAAATTGTAAATAAATTGATTTCTATACATATCCTTTCAATCAAATGAAAATACTCATCAAAATAAAGAGAAGCCTCTTGCAAAGCTGTTTCAGTCAAATGCAGGAAACAACAGAGGGCAAAAGAGAGAAAACAATTGATGCGTTTACATTACAACTTACACACAAACTTTTCTCGTATCAACCAGACCAACTTGCATTTTTAATGCTACCTTCAGATCTAAAGAATGAAAATATACACCAAAATCTAATCAGTAAATAAACCAACAGGCTCTAAGTGTGCATACATTTTGAAATAAAATGACAAGTTAATACCTGTCCGTATAAAAACTATAAAGATGACTAAAGAAAAATATAATGCATAATAATATCTAAATGTTTACATATACCGTATAGTAAAATAATTTTCATGACCAGTTTCAATATTAGTGGACAAATACACAAAACATACCTTTTCCACTCATCAACTCCAACAAAAGTCACTTGTGTACATATAATTTTGCCCTATCAAAGATAGAGGCGCAGCATAGAAGCATACATTTTCCGTAAGTAGAAAAAAAATCCCACAATATGACATATCAATCACCAATTTGGCGGCAAAAGGATAATAGTTTATTTCAAACAATTATAGCACTTTAAAAAACAGCAGAGAATGCAAAACCAAAACGTACAGATTTTAATCTTCTGGTTCACTAATCTCACATCCTTTTCTGAAAGTGTGTTAGTTTGCCCCTCTTCCTCATAGGCATTACACATGTACATTTCCAAATATGTGCGTGCCCATATTCACATGCGTCAGTACACACACACATTCCCATGACATCAAGAACATAAATCATACAAAGACATATTCTGACAAGAATTCCAATCAGCAGCAGCAATGGGGGAAAAAAAACAAAATTAATCTCAAAATTTGAAGCTGCCTCGTAGTGGCGAGAAAAGGCATAGTTGAGAAACAAACAAATAATTCTTGTACACAAATGAAAAAAAACCAACCAAAACACGCACAAAGGTGCAACACTTTTTAAAGAATAATTTCACTGTTCCCTGGTTTTACTTGCTTGGTAATGCAATGACCAATGTTACAAAAGGAGTAGAAATAACATTAATGTATAGAGCCATTCTCACAAAGCCAGCATAAGGCCAATAAATACATCCTGATCGCAATGAACTAGGTCACAAACCTGCAAAATGAGAAGGAAAAAGGGACTAAAATATGGCTCATAAATTTTCTTAATTCTGTTATGAAATTAACCCTTGATAACACAATCACTACCAGTGATAGAACTCAATTTAAAAAACCTAAGAATCATGCAAGAGTTTATTTCTTTTCCCAATTCTCTAAAAATGGTAAATCTATTGGGAGGTGGGGGTTACAACAATGATTTCCCAAAATCCATCTTTTCACTTTCTTTGAAATTTTGCATGTTAGTTGGGTTTTTTTTAAAATATGGATCAGGATTTTTTGTTTGTTTCTAATTTCTTCCACCTGTCGATACTTTACTAATAAAAACACAAAGAGTTCCTTCCACGTTCGTGTATGTTATTAATAACATTCACAGCAATTTTAAATTATTTTGTGGTAAAGGTAAGTGAGTTATTTGATATACATGATTACAACATTCTGCGGGCCTGAGACCCCAACTTGACCCTTACAGTAATTAAATCCATCAGGATATCTCTTTTGTCTTCAGGAGATTGCTCAAAACTGTATTTCAACTGCACATAACAAGTTTTTTTTTTTTATAGTAGTGTACCCTCTTAAATAAGTTGCAACAACCTAGATTTTTAAACAGCAACTTCTTATGCTTTGCTTAAATGCAGTAAATAATGGGTACTTTTCTCATTTTCAAATTGAAAAGATCAGATTAGACACTACGCTTACACAAGAAAGGTGACCAAATTTTTAAGTCCTTGCCTGACAACATAGATACATTTGCCTGATTTCTTTAAGTGAAAACGCAGCAGTAGCAAGACTCATTCATGCTGAAGGCATATGGTTACTAAGAAAAACTGCAGGGTTTTCATTCTTGTGATTAACAAAAGAAAATTCTAAACACCACATTGAAAAAAGTAACATGTCAAGATATACAAGGTAACGAAAGTAGATCATGATTTTCAAGAAACGTAAAGTTTTTTAGAATGTACTGGCACCTTTCTTCCCTTAGTTTGAGCATCCTTAAAGTGTTTAATTAGCCTGGTAAACATAGTCGAGATCTGTAAATAACGTTCTCTTAAAGGTGCAGCATAAATGGGCCTGGTAATCTTAGTCGAGATTTGTAAAAGACATCCTCTTAAAGGTGCAACATAAATCAACACATTAAACATAGCACTCCAAAATTGTGATATTTATTAAGTAAAGCTGGAGACTCTGAGGGCCATTTCATGTCAAATGTATGTTTGTTTATTCTTTTCTCTAAAGGACCTAATTTCATGCTAATTCTCACAGTAAAGCGAGAAGTATATTTATTTCAATCGATACATACATTATATTCATTATATTATAACATATAAGTCAATAAGTCTATCACTAGCATTTTTTTTAAACATCAGCAATGAACAGTATATTATATATATATATTTCTATATTAATAGTTTTTCAAAGAAAACCTGAAGGTGTTAAGGCGGAAATGTTGAAAAATTTGAAGATCACGAGCACATTTGATTTAAAATGTGTTTTTTTTTACACTAACAACTACCACGATTTGAGAAGAAAAAAATGAATAACAGCCTGCGCACATCTTAGACACTTGTTAAAATTCTTACCCTTTTCACATTGAAGGTGAATACCGGTATGTACAAAAATTTCACAACCAAATTCATAACCTACAGATGATACACATCACTTCATTCTAACCTTTCAACTTGTTCCGCCTTGTAACAGATTTTCACTACACAATCATACACAATTTTTCTTTTAAAACCAAAACCCTCCCCAAAAAACAAACAAACAAACCTGACATCTCAAGACAATAAAATCTCAGATTGCAAGACATTCAAAACTGAAGGTTTTTAGTCTTAAATCAAAAAATAAAAAGTAACTCCAGAAGTTGAAACAAGAGTAAAAAATAAACTGGAGGGCAGAAAAGTCAGAACAATATAAGGTGTATATATGATATGTTGAGAGAATTTGTTTTGGTTGTATTCTAAAAAAATCAAAATCAAATAACATTTTAGTTCCATGTTCAACAAACACTCATCCAATCATATGTCCACCTGCATGCACGTGCGCGCGCAAACACACACACACACACACACACACACACACACACACACACACACACACACACACACACACACACACACACACACACACACACACACACAATGAGAACAGCAGCTTTACACTTTTGAGGTAAGATACTTAAAAATTAACTCAACCATTTGTATCACAATTATGAGCTACCATATCATTATTGAGAACAAGACCAACACTTGCTGTTAATATCATAATGGGAGTACAAATTGTACAATCACAAAAAAGGCCATAAAGTATACTTTATTTAGCTGTTTTATCACAGAACACATATTTTACATTCTAGAACGGAAACTGGAACGTAAATAGTCCAAACCATTACACACAACAAAACAGTGATCATATGGTTCTGAAACTGACCTCAACTCTCATCATCAAGATAGGAAACTATGCACACAGTCTAGGTATGTTTAAATAATACAAAACATTTACCATTAGAGAAAATACAGTCCAACAAAGAAATACATGTTAAACATTTTTCAAACAAATTGCTATGTATATATATGTAAGTCCTCAGTATCAATTTGAAAGATCATAACATTGCCATTCTAAAATTCTACTCTCATTTAGAAAATCATTCTGAAGGGCTGTGCAAAGTGAAATAGTCCACACTGGTAACTGCAATAGAAATTAACCTTCAAAGCACGTGCCTAAAAAATTAGTAAAGGGATATATGGTCGCTTTTAAGGACAAGTGGGCAAACCCAGATTTCCGGGGGTTTCCAGAAATCTTGACCTAAACCAAAAGTAGGCATTGCCCTACCTATAAGAGAAGTTTGGTTTCATTGGTGTGTATATTTGTTTGGTTATAGAGAAAACTCTCCTAGTCTTTTAAAGAGACAGAATAAGAATCCAAAAACTTTATCTTCGATTTTCTGAAAACAGTATTTTTCGGCATAGCCCACTTCCCTTGTCCTTAAAAGCGACCATATCATATTACAGCTCATTGCCTTTGAATGAACCCCCCCCCCCCCCCCTTAAAAAACCCCCCACTCGTTTGGTAATGGAAAATACTACTCAGTGGACAGCAGAAGGTGACTACAGGAAAACCACCGAGCATTTCTAATTGATACTGTTAGTCTAATGTAGCACCTCAGTATCCCAATATCAATGATAGTAAAGACACTTCCTCTGGAGAATCAAACTGTTTCTGTCAAATAAGTAGACAACCTGCATTTTACATAAACATTTCTATCACAAAAGTATGCAAAAGCGATAAAAGTAATACTGAAAATGTCAGAAACAGCAGGTTTTTGGACAATCCCCCAGAGAGAAATGGAATCAATGCAGTAAGAGCTATCAGGTAGTCATACTAGTTAAAAGCAGAAAGCATAGACAAATCAAAGGCAAAATTTTTTAAGCTTATTTTCTGAGTATGAGATGAATGAAGAAACTATATTTAATATCAAATTCAGTTATTGGTCTCTATTATAAAGTTATCATAATTGATTTTATATTTTTATACAAATTTCTCTACAGCATAGACTAGTGAATCAAAGCAGTCTTAATCATAACCAGGTTTAGACCCCTATGCTGTAAAACTTTAAACGAGAATCACTGCTATAAAACAGCGAAAAACTACAACAGTACAGGCTCATGAATTTTACCATCTTTTCTTCATATATGAACAATATAGCTCTTCATACATGTCATGGCAACTGCAACATTTAAATGACTGGATAAAAATGGGTTGCAATCATCCATACAAAAAATAGGGCTGGCAAATTACACATACACACAGTTTGAGTACAGTTTTCACCATTCATCCTTTTTTAACTGAATAGCGCACACACACATACCACCACTTTGACTCTTAGAAAGGTAAAAGCAAAGACTGCTTCAGCTGATGGGCAGGGTCACAAGTGCTGTAAGCTTTTTTTGGGCTCAGTCTCTTTCACTATGTCAGCAAGGCCACCAGTCTTCACTCTGTACGTTCGTCTACCCCACTTAATATAATGCGGGTTGATGACTGCTAAAATGTACACATAAGTCCCTGTCAGCTCACGAACTATCCACGCTAAAACATACTGTAGCTTTGAAAATGGCAGAGGTCCATTCTGAAGAATAGAAAGAGATTAACCTGGATAAGAACATGAAATGAATATGCATTTGAAATGAAATAAAACATGGGCATTGTGTATAAGAGATTTGTAATAAGCAGTTTTCTAAATATGCCTATCCAATAATAGGCCAATGAAAAGGTAATGAAATTATGAAACTCCTTTCATTTTCATGGGCTTTTTCAGGGTTGTTTTTTTAAAGAATAAAATGTAAATATAATGAAGTGAATTACATTTAGGAACGGTTTCTCTTTCTTGATGTTATTGCATGACCGCATTATTCAAAGCTTTGCATGACCAGTCCATAACACATGTTTACAATGAAGCAATCTTCTTAAAGTAAGTACTAAAAACTTTTTTTTTTTAAAGAAAGAAATTTCAATTGTCTGTAATCTAGTGGCCAAGGTTGTTGGACTCGCAACTACGAGGTAGCAAATTCAAATCTTGGCCTAGGTTTGATGTAAGGTCCTTGGGAGAGACTTTACACAAATTTTTCTCATTTTACCAAGGTCAGAATGGGAACTCAACTAAAACGGAAATATTTTGTCAGCATGTTTGTGTTAGAGTGCCTGTATAATGGCAGCTTGTCTGAATGTTTCCCAGCAAGCTGAAAATGGCTTCAAACTGCTTGCCATATGACTGCATGACATGTACTGTAGTCGGCAGTAGTTAGTTATTTCTAGCTGTTGCTCACGTAAAGCATGGGCGGCGGCGGCAGTTGCTCAATTCACTGGACACTCGCATGTCATTGGGTAAGCGCTGCATTAAGTCCAACCCCCTCTCATTTAGTGGATAGTGCAGGTGATAAGACCAGCTGTTTCTCAGCTGTTAAATTGCACTGATTGAATACAGCATACACTCAGTCTGAGGTCTGGTTGATAGAAAACTTTTGTAGCCTGCGACTGCAGTGAGTCGGTAGCGAAAATGACTAATTGTACCAAAGTTGGACAGGGGCCACATGGACAAGTTGAAAATATAGGAAAGACACAAGGGTGTCATGAAACGGTGGCCGTTAGTACAAGTAACCACCAGAGAGAGGGTCAGATGTAATTGTAAAAAACAGTGTCTGATGAGTGATAATGTAAATTCAATATAATATGTGAGGCATCATTGTGAAATCAGGCGCTCGTCAAAATAATGAAATTAAAGAAACCAGGCATTTTTTCGCCTCTTTGGCAATTTATATCGAACTTTTAATTTTTGGCTTAACACCTTTTAAGTCCATTTAAAACCCATTTCGGTGTGGATGTTACAGAAAAGCGTTGATTAAAGGCACCAAAAATGTACATTTGCAGTTTCCAGGGACTCTCAGGCTTCGAAAGTCATCAAACTTTGGCGCCTTTTTCTCGCTAATTTTTCCTCAGAGAACAGACAACCTCCACCTCCTTCAATCACAAATAACTTCACTTTTATTCACAAAAGATGGGTATTTTTTTCATTACAGGTAAGGCAAACGAATTAGCTCTAAAATGATACCAAGTCGACATGATCAAAAATTAATTGACAAGCGCTCAATTCTACTACATCGTGACCCATATTGTTTATTGATTTATTTTTACCTGCATGGTCTTTAGCTGTATGTAGTCCAAAATGAGCCAGCTGACCACATGTCCACAGAAAAATAGTACAGGGTTGATAGAGAAGAAGTAATACAAAGACCAGCCTGTCCACACACCCAGAGGAAAACAGTCGGACAAGGGTTCCAGAATTCCAGTAACCGCTGGCATCATGTTAAGTCTCAGCCTCACCCATCTGCAAGCACAGAAAACAGTGCTGCATAAATAAATACCGTCTAGCACATACATAGCTAACATGTACTTAGCAAACAGATTTTCAGGTCCAGAATTTTTTCTTATATATGTACATTTTGTGTATTTAAAACATTTGCAGAGTGGAATTTGTACAAAACGAAAAGATTTCGACACCTCTGCTGATTTCACTATCTATGTGCAAGACTGTAAGTATTTTATGCTATTTCTGACCTGTTTGGACAGCTCAAAGAGAAGACCTCTAGTTTACAAATCATGCAAAGACATAAAAGATAAAGGTGTTGCAGTACCCTAAAAGGAACCACACAACAATATAAGAAGGATTTGAATAACTGGTGAAGAAGAAGTATGTCTTCCTCGCAGCCACTTTCATGGACAACTCTTGCTTACAGAAAGTAAAAAAGTCGATAGTCTCGAAATTTTGAGAGATTTCGTTAACACCTTGAAGGTTAACATTTTATTTAGAGTGCCAAACCAGTCATAGATTTCTGCAGAAGAGATACTATACAAAATCATCCTGTTCCATTAACTGCTATAAATTCAACAGAGGATTGAAAGAAAAGAGGATAAGCCTGGTGTGCAAAAGACACAGAAGATGAAGTAATGACATAAAAGTCAATCAACAAGAAAAAGTCTATAGTAGCAGCTCCACTGTGAATGCTCAAGGTCAACTTAACCCATTTAATTTCAACTTGTAAGCGAAAGGGGCATTTATCCATAAATTCCCCCCTCCCCCCTTTTCCAATTCAATACAACTTGTAAGTCCCATCTACTCTCAAACCATCTTCATTTTTTTTTCTTCTCATGTTCCTTGAGCCTCTGAGACATTAATATAATCTCTTTTGTGTCTTAATATTATTATACAGGCCATCAAAAGTACAGATCAGATCAGCTGACCTATGGCAAAAATTAACAACATGATCACCAGCAGACACATGTGTGAATATGCAAATTTGATTAAAACAAAAGACAGCCCACATACACTTCTTTACTTTTTGATGATAACCAACCCATAAAGAGCTTTAAAATATTTACTTTAGGACATCTCTCGGTCAACATGCTTAAGGATAAGATAAAGAGGATTAGGTTACATAAATCTTTAACCATAATCAGGCAGGGTTAACTCCATAAGCCTGTGAAAACATGGAAGGACAAACAAGCAAGCTACAATGCTGCAATAACACTGATGGTGGAGGGAAGAGTTTGGCGGAAAGGTTTATTTACCCTACACCTTCCCACTAGATGCTTCAGGGGCCTAGTTCTTACCGTGTCCATTTCCATTTTGAGGCACAAACTATGATCAAATATGGAGTGATTGCAAACACCCCCCAAAAATATCGCACAATTTCCCACTTAACAGCACAGAAAGGACAGTGAAGACTCATTCAATGTAGGGGTCCAGTGAGAAAGCTCTCTTTTAGTCCAGCAGATAGCAATAGCTGGCTAAAGGGCCAATATGCTTATATCGACTTGTAACACCTTCCAAACTTTATGGTACAAATGGGACAGACAAGCCAATTGCAATTAATGAAAGAAAATGCTGAAAATTTATGCAAATCTGAAGGAAGTGCATCCCCTCAAATACAAAACCAAAAGAAACCGTCATATTCTACTCATAAGTACCTGACCATGCGGCCTACAAAGCCACACACTGTAACCTGACCAACATTTTGCTTGGCAGGTATAGCAGACATCACCATATGGCCCCTGGAGAGAGAAAAAACAAGCAAAAAAAGGGCTAGTAGGAAAGAAAACAGGAAGGTGCACCAGTCTGTATTAGATTCCCCAATAATACAATAATAAATGTGAAGTAAATCTTGCATAAAATTGATGGAACCAAGTAAAGAGCTTTTAATCCACGGAACTCAGAAAAAGTTTCAACATTGGCACTGTTACTTTTGTGCACCATTTTTTTACACATAGAAAATATCTTGGCCATGTAAACAGAAATATAAATTTTTTATTTTTTTTAAAGTATCAAAGTATATATTCCATGCTTACCCTTTTGAACATTCGTGGGTCTAAAAGATCTAGCTATGTCAGAAAACCTGAACTCACAAAATTGATATAAAACAAGAAATATCACAACAACAAACTTCACGTAACTTCCTATTCACATTTTTTGCATTTCTTGTAATTGCAATTCTGAACTTTTTGTCCCTTTTATGGGTATGTTGATTTGATCTATTAGATACAACACAACTTCTTCTTTTCAATTGCACATAAGTGTGTGTTGTGTAGGGAGGGAGGGATGGAGAGAGAGAAAAAAAGAGAGGGGGAAACAGACAGAGAGAGACAGAGAGACCTCTTCATTTTACATTGTAAAAGAAAACAAGCCTAAAAATAGTTATCTTAGTGATGAAAAGCTCCTTGTTATTTATAGGTAAAAATTCAACTTGACACCCCCCCTCCCCCTCTCCTTCTTAAAATAATGTAAAGGGATGTCACAGCTTCCCACATGCAGCCCTTAGAGAGTGGAGACCCAGGTTGTGCGTAGTAAGTAGGTGAAGTAAGTTCTGAATGGAAGATTCAAGAAGACTTTCATCCATTTATATCTTTCAGGAGACATATAACTCTATTTAAAAAATTCCCAGAAATTCTAGAAGACACAAACCTTTCATGAAGGGCTCTGGTCAAAAAGAAATCCTCCGCCAAATAACGTCCATACCAAGCCAAGCCATTGGCTTGATCCAGCAGGGGTTTTTTGAACATGTACGACATTCCTGTGACACAGCAAAGGCCCAGCACGTTGAAGGAGACATAGAATCGGGTCATGGCAGCACCAAAGTAAACCTGGGAATAAAAGACATGCCACTTGGTTTTGTGCTATGCAGGCTTCTGAGTAAAGAAATGCACATGTTGACCCATCTTTGTAAGAGTTACAATTGACGGGCTTCAGGCGTTTTAGGTATATCTACAGGGGACTATGTGTCACCTGTATAAGTCAATGTGTGGGAACAGATTTATCTGAGTGTGTGTTTGTGTGTGTGTGTGTGTGTGTGTGTGTGTGTGTGTGTGTGTGTGTGTGTGTGTGTGAGGGTGGTTGTGTGGTTGTGTTTTTGT